ACATGCCCGGGTTTCGGGCTCCATCCCCAGTGGGGGGTGTGCAGGAGGCAGCCAGTCCATGATTCTCTCTCATCATGGATGTTTCTCTCTCTTTCTCCCTCTCCCTTCCTCTCTGAAATCAATAATTAAAAAATATACTTTTTAAAAAATCCAGTTACCTGCTTCACATCCTTCCTGTTTTAGCTCATTTTTCGCATCTCCCCGAAAACCCCCAACTTCTCTTATTCTGGCTCTCCAGTTGCCTTCATCGTTTTTATCACTGTTGCACTTTTTTAAAAAATAAATACATTTTCGTTGATTTCAGAGAGGAAGGGAGAGGGAGATATAGAAACATCAATGGTGAGAGAGAATCATGGATCAGCTGTCTCCTGCACTGGGGATCGAGCCCACAGCCCAGGCATGTGCCCTGACCGGGAATCAAACCTGGGACCCTTCAGTCTGCAGGCCGATGCTCTGTCCACTGAGCCACACCGGCCAGGGCCATTGTTGCACTTTTATTCTTATTCTGAGGGATGTTTTTGATTACCACCTTCACAGAGAGGTCGTGACTGTATGGTTTCTGCTCATCCCTGTATCCCAGGTGCCTGACACGGAATAAATGCTCCATAAATATTGATTATTTAGTGGATGGATAGCAGCAGAAGTCCCATGCCTCTGACTCTTGCAACTTGCGAGTTGCTCTTTGCTATTCCCGAGCGCCAGCGAGAGGGGAAGGGGGGGAGGTCAGGGGGACGTGGGATACACAGGGGAGGACGGAGAAAGCTTAGAAGTCTGTGTTTCTCACCCTGACTGGTATGACTCAGTGGATAGAGCGTCGGCCTGCGGACTGAAGGGTCCCAGGTTCGATTCCGGTCAAGGGCATGGACCTTGGTTGCGGGCACATCCCCAGTAGGGGGTGTGCAGGAGGCAGCTGAGGGATGTTTCTCGCTCATCGATGTTTCTAACTCTCTATCCCTCTCCCTTCCTCTCTGTAAACAATCAATAAAATATATTTAAAGAAAAAAGAAGAAGAAGAAAAAGAAGAAGAGGAGGAGGAGGAGGAGGAGGAGGAAGTCTGACTTTCTCTAGCCAGGTTAGTTACTTGTTAGAAAGTATACCGCCAAACCCCAAGCCACTTTTATTTATTTTAATATATTTTTATGGATCTTAGAGAGGAAGGGAGAGGGAGAGAGAGAGAAACATCCATATGATAGACAATGATGGATCGGCTGCCTCCTGCACGCCCCACCCTGGGGATGGAGCCTGCAACCCGGGCATGTGCCCTTGACCGGGAATCGAACCCAGGACCCTCCAGTCTGCAGGCCGATGCTCTATCCACTGAGCCACACCAGCCAGGGCCAAAGCAACTTTTTAGAAAGAAGCAGTAAAGGGTAAGTGCACTTTTACTCATCGGACATGTCCCCAGAACATTTGACGTGTCCAGAGTCATGTCAGCCTTTCGGGGCAGACTTCTACCAACTCTGAGGTCACCTCAGTCGTGCGGTCGGATTGAGCTCTATGGAAAACGAAATGAGAACCGGTAACACCGCCTGGCTGGCATGGCTCAGTGGTTGAGTGTCGGCCTATGAACCAGGAAGTTGCGGTTTGATTCCTGGTCAGGGCACATGCCCAGGTTGTGGGCTTGATCCCCAGTGTGGGGTGTGTAGAAGGCAGCCGATCCATGATTCTCTCTCATCATGGATGTTTCTCTCTTTCCCTTTCTGTCTGGAATCAATAAAGATCCTATATCATAAAACCCTAATATACAAATTGACCAAACAGCAGAACGACCGGTCGCTATGATGCGCACTGACCACCAGGGGGCAGACACTCAACGCAGGAGATGCCTCATGGTGGTCTGTGTGCTTCCACGGGGGAGCGCTGCTCAGCCAGAAGCGGGGCTTGCTGCTCCTTAGCACTGCGAAGGCGGGAGCGTCCGTCTGCCAGAAGCCGGGCTCACAACTGGTGAGCACAGTGGCGGTGGTGGGAGCCTCTCCTACCTCTGCTGCGGGCATACGGTAAAGAGCAAGGGGTTCTGGATTGTGAGAACCCCGGACTGCGAGAGGGATGTCTGCCTGCTGGCTTAGACCCAATCAGATGTCTGACTGCTAGCTTAGGCCTGGTCCCCGGGCCTATGCCAGCAGTCAGACATCCCCCGAGGGGTCCTGGACTGCAAGAGGGCACAGGCTGGGCTGAGGAACAAGTGCACAAATTTCGTGCACCGGGCCTCTAGTGTGTGTGTGTATATATATATACACAAATTCATGCACAGGTGGAGTCTGGCCGGCCTGCCCCAATTGGCCCCAATTGGGCCTGGGGGAGAGGCCATGGGAGGTTGGTGGGCTGGCCCCACCCCCAATCAGTCAGGGGCAGGGCTGGCCAGGGGGAGGGGCCATGGGCAGTTGGCCGGCCAGCCCCGCCCCCTGGTTGAACTCCGGGTCGAGGGGACAATTTGCATATTAGCCTTCTATTATATAGGATATATGGAACGGATAACATTAAAAATGAATATTGTTGTAGAGCAAGCACGTCAAACTCAAAGGCTAACACGGGCCAAATAAACCAGGCATGCGGCCCGCGGGCCACGAGTTTGACATGCTTATGGTAGAGTGCGTGTTTTTTAAACCCCAAATTATTGAAATCTGACGGATGAGTTCCTTGAAAGCAGGAGCCTCTCATGGAGGATTTTGTACTTCATGCCCAAGACCGCGCCTTGAATGTAGTCGTGGGCACGTGAACAGACTCAAGAACATGAAGCCATTGTATGGACAGATACACAACGAGATGAAGAAGGCTCAGTCTGAATGAAAAGTGTAGGCTCAGGAGGACTTTTTTTTTTTAATCACCCGCTGAATAAATATTGAGGACCTACTACGCGCTCGTAGGCATTGCCCTATGTTTGTGAAAACAGAAGGCTGAGGTAAGCAAGGACAGACACACTTCCTGCTTTTACGGAACCAGGAGACCAACCTAATGATAAATGATAGGCAGACGCCAGGAGAGCTGGCCTGGGGTGCTGGCCTGGGGGTGTCCACCTACTGGCCGCTGGGGGAGGTGTCCAAGGCGTTGAGAAGGATGCCTGAGTGGAGTTGTGCAGGTTGAAGGGGCATTAACTGGGGTCAGAGGGCGGGGAGTTCTCAGGCAGGTAAACCCGTATCTTGGGAGGCTCTGTGGCAAGTTACCCCTGGGGCTTGTGAGAAATGAAACATGTCCTGTCCTATAGAATAAAAGCCTAATATGCTAAGTGTCCGGTCGTCCGGTCGTCTGTTCAACCAATCAAAGCGTAATAGGCTGATGATATGCTAAGGCCGCTCATCCGCTCGCTGTGACATGCATGGACCACCTGGGGGCAGACGCTCCGGCCCTCCCGCAGTCCCTTCCCAGTTGGCCAACCTCCTGCGTTCCTCCCTGGCCCCGATCTTGCAGCAGTGGGGTTCCTCAGCCTGGCCTGCACCCTCTCACAATCCGGGACCCCTCAGGGGTTTCAGAGAGCCGGTTTCAGCCCGATCCCGCAGGCCAGGCCGAGGGACTCCACTGGTGCACGAATTCATGCACCGGGCCTCTAGTGGGATATAAGCGTAAGGGCCCAAAGGGAATTGTAGGGGGAAAAAGTTAGAGAAGCAAGTAGCGGCCAAGCCATGACGGGGTTTTGGTAAAGATTTGTGTGTGTATGAAATCCAATAAATTCAATTCAAAAAATTGCAACCCGAAAAATAAAGCACTTGATTTCTCTAAAAAAGAAAGACATATGATAGAAAAGTATAAGAGGATTTTCAGCAGGGAGGCCAAAGGATTCGATTTGCATTTTTAAAAAAGATCATCTTGCCCTGGCCGGTGTCACTCAGTGGACAGAGCATTGGCCTGGGGACCGAAGGATCCCGGGTTCGATTCTGGTCAAGGGTGCGTACCTCAGTTGCAGGATCCTCCCCGGCCCGGGCCCTGGTGGGGGCGCGTGCAGGAGGCCACCTATCAGTGTGTTTCTCTCACATCAATGTTTCTCTCTGTCTTTCCCTCTCCCTTCCACTCTCTCTAAAAATCAATGGAAAAACACCCTCTGATGAGGATTAAAAATAATAATAAAAATAAATAAAAATAAAAAAGATCACTCTGGCCAGCTAAAGTATAGAAAACACATCAGAGGAGCCACATATATAACAGTCAGGAAACTACTACATTCTTCTAGGTCATGGTGACAGCAGAAAACAGGTAAATACAAGGGATGTTAGCAGGTCAAAACATCTCAGTAGAACTTCTATGTCCCAGCTCATTGCCTGTCATTCAAACTCAGTTCTGGTCTTTCTGATTTTTTTTCTCACGTGATGACCCCACTAGCTTCTTGTTTCTTGGATGGGTTCCAACTTACATCCACAGAGGAGTTCCACTGAAAGAGTTCAACACCTTTATTCAGACCCAGAAGAGTTGGGAGGAAAAGAGGGGAAGCAAAGAGCCGCTCAATATTTACTTGAATGTCGTTATTCCTTCCATTTTACCACCGTGCGCTCGGGCTTCCGGCTTGGGTTTGAGACTCTGGGCTGGAGGGACGTTGCCATACGTGGGATATTTTTCCAAATATTCCGTTGTTGGGCAAAACGCGCCAGAATTTTCATAAATCCCTGTGCTTCCATGTGGACAACGATGTCGCCTGTGCAGACATAATCCAAACCGAAAGGTTATTTTCACCTACAATCACATTTTGTGTGACAATTACATTATAGTCGGAGACCTTCAATAACATTGAAGAGCATCTTTACTCCACAATTTACAATAGCCGAGACCTGGAAACAGCCCAAGTGCCTGTCAGCAAACGAGTGAATAAAAAAGCTGTAGTACATCTACACCATGGAATACTATGCAGCTGTGAAAAAGGAGGATCTCTTACCCTTTGAGACAGCATGGAGGGACCCGGAGAGTATCATGCTAAGTGGAATAAGTCAGTCAGAGAAAGACACGTATCCCATGATCTCACTCATATAGGAGCCTAATTAACAAAATAAATTGATGAACAGAGTGGATCCAGGGACATGGAAGCACGGACCAGAGTGCGGAATCTCAGAGGGAAGGGCAGGGGTGGAGGAGGAAATCAACCAAAGACCTTGCATGTATGCATAACTCCCAGCAAACAGTGGGGTCCTGAGGGCCTGGGATGGGGGTGGGGGATGGAGGCGGGCTGGAGGGGGTCAATGGGAGGAAAAGGGGACATATGTAATACTTTCAACAATGAAGATTTTAAAAAACAAATCTTTGGTATGTTAAAAGAGGGCAAAATAACCTTTGGACTAGGCCTAAAGCAACATTGTGTCCTGAAAAACTGTTTGCAAAGATAACAGGAAAGCAGATATTATGACTACCAACTGATGGCTACTGGACTGAAAATTAGCATTGTTTAGAATTTGCATCACAATGCTAGCTTGTGTATATCAGTAGAATACTTTTTTAGCCCTAGCTGGTTTGGCTCAGTGGATAGAGCTTTGGCCTACGGTCTGAAGGGTCCCGGATTTGATTCCAGTCAAAGGCACATACCTTGGTTGCAGGCACCCGGCCCTGGTCAGGGACATGCGGGAGGCAACCAATTGATGTGGTCTCTCTCACATCAGTGTTTCTCTCTGTCTCTTCCTCTCCCGTCTACTCTCTCTAAAAATCAATGGAAAAAAATACCTTGGGAGGTGCAGTTGAATTTACAGAACTCTTTTTAAGTTTAGGCTGATCCTGTTTCTTTTTTTTTTTTTTAAATTAAATCTTTATTGTTCAGGTTACATTTGTTCCTCTTTTTTTCCCCCCCATAACTCCCCTCCTCCCAGTTCCCGCCCCACCCTCCGCCCTCACTCCCCACCCACTGTCCTCATCCATAGGTGCACGATTTTTGTCCAGTTTCTTCCCGCATCTCCCATTCCCCTTTCCCCGCCAAGAATAGTCAGTCCATTCCCTTTCTATGTCCCTGATTCATTATAATCACCAGTTCATTCTGTACATCCACTTACCCTATATAATCCTATATAATAAAAGCCTAATATGCTAAGTGTCTTGTTGTCCTGTCGGCCTGTCAACCAATCAAAGCACAATATGCTATTGATATGCTAAAGGCCGTTCAACCGCTCACTATGATGTACACTGACCACCAGGGGGCAGATGCTCCAACCGGTAGGTTAGCTTGCTGCTGGGGTCCGGCTGATCAAGACTGAGTGAGACTGGCCGGACTCGCCCTGGAGCCCTCCCGCATCCCTTCCCAGCTGGTCAACCTCCTGCGTCCCTCCCCGGCCCCTATCGTGCACCAGTGGGGTCCCTCGGCCTGACCTGCATCCTCTCGCAATCCGGGACCCCGCAGGGGATGTCAGAGAGCCAGTTTCTGCCCGATCCCACAGGCCTGGCCAAGGGATCCCACTGGTGCACGAATTCGTGCACCAGGCCACTAGTTAATTATAAACAACATTTATCATGAAACTAGGGGAGGGGACTGCTGTCCATCAACATGCAGGGGATTTCCCTTTGGAGGAGATTACAAAAGAAGGGAGGGGCCTATTGGTAACATTTACTTAACCAGCATTCTCTAATCCCTGGGTCAACAGGGAAGCCCAGAGGACTGTTGACAGGAGCGAAGGTTGCTAGGCAGGACTCACAGACCAGTCCTGGGTCTCAAGGTGGCCACCACTACATTGCCGGTCACTCGGCCCCAGGGGAGTGCTGCTTGGGCGGGAAGGGGAATAGGGAGACTGAAAGAAGCCCAAAACGGGTTAGGAACTCAAGAATTGCAGACGTTTTGGGGTGGGGGGGACTGGGAGGGGCGTGGCTCAGTGGTTGAGCCTCTACCCTATGAAGCAAGAGGTCACCCTTCGATTCCCAGTTAGGGTACATGTCCGGGTTACAGACTTGATTCCCCAGTGTGGGGCGTGCAGGAGGCATCCGATCCATGATTCTCTGTCATCGTTGATGTTTCTCTCTCTCTCTCCCCCTCTCCCTTCCTCTCTGAAATCAATAAAAATCCTATATAATAAGAGTCTAATATGTAAATCGACCAAACAGCAAAACAACTGGTTGCTATGACACACACTGACCACCAGGGGGCAGATGCTCCAACCGGTAGGTTAGCTTGCTGCTGGGGTCCGGCTGATCAAGACTGAGTGAGACTGGCCGGACTCGCCCTGGAGCCCTCCCGCATCCCTTCCCAGCTGGTCAACCTCCTGCGTCCCTCCCCGGCCCCTATCGTGCACCAGTGGGGTCCCTCGGCCTGACCTGCATCCTCTCGCAATCCGGGACCCCGCAGGGGATGTCAGAGAGCCAGTTTCTGCCCGATCCCACAGGCCTGGCCAAGGGATCCCACTGGTGCACGAATTCGTGCACCAGGCCACTAGTTAATTATAAACAACATTTATCATGAAACTAGGGGAGGGGACTGCTGTCCATCAACATGCAGGGGATTTCCCTTTGGAGGAGATTACAAAAGAAGGGAGGGGCCTATTGGTAACATTTACTTAACCAGCATTCTCTAATCCCTGGGTCAACAGGGAAGCCCAGAGGACTGTTGACAGGAGCGAAGGTTGCTAGGCAGGACCCACAGACCAGTCCTGGGTCTCAAGGTGGCCACCACT